TCACCACTTGCACAAAAGACAAAACATATGGCGGCGTATGATTCCATGTTGTAGCAGAAGATTCATTTAAGTTTTGCACATTTGGTGAGTAGTGGAGAGAAGCCCTGAAAAGCACATGGTGAGTTGGCCTGCTACTGCCGCGTGCTCAGTGGTCCCATAACTGCTGAAACACGGACCTTAATGTGAATCAACACCACATTTAATTGGCATGCCACTACCCTAGCCTGGGTATGAGCATTGCCTCGTTCATGGTGAGGAGGCCCTTGCTAATTCTCTGCAGGGGCCTCTTGGATAACCCGCAAGGGTTTTCATATTAATGTTAAGGAGTTCAATGGTTGCTCTCTCTCTCTCTCTCTCTCTCTCTCTCTCTCTCTCTCTCTCTTGTTCTCACACATCATAGCCGCCTTTTTTTTTTTTTTTTTTTTCTGCGCACTGGTGACCAGCGCACCGCACCGCATGGCGCACCGCACACTTGCGCCGCACGAAGGATTTTTTCCCATAAAACTTGTTTTTCCATGAGGGAGTGATGGAACATATTATGGAAGAAAACAACGGGCTTTGGGGCCTCCCAGACTACACAAGTTCACCCAATAGACTCCTTTCCAATTCCAAGGCCATTTCAACCCTCCTATCATCGTATTCCATACTGCGTTTCACGAATTAATCCTGACTCTTGAGTGATTTTTAGCAACCTAAGACGAAATGCTTCCTAAATCAATGAATCTAAAATAATTTTGAATACAACCTGATACGGACCTTGTCCCACTGGAAGATCAATCATGAATGATTTTGGGCAACCCATAAAGAGACGCTTCTCTCCTCCCCCCCCCCCTCCTCTAAAACAGGTCTTCATGGGCCTGGCTCCATATCCATTCTGGGGAGCGTCAGTCCGGTTCCTTTTCCCCCCGCAAGTCATGAATTTACAGATACACTCACTCATGCTTCCTCCAGCCTGGGCGAAGGACCCCTGATCAGCATTCATTGCCCCTAATAGGGGGACTATAAGCTTGCCATTTTCGTTATCCATCCTTCCAAATCCCTCGCCTTGTCGCTGTCTAGAGCCGGTTGACCATTAGACCCGAGCTGTCTGCAAGAGTTTCCTGGGGAGCGTCAGACCGACTCCTTTCACCAGTCAGTACCTACCGTGACACTTTGAACCCACTTGGCATACCCTTGCTCCTCAACGAAGGGTTGATTGCCAACCCACCTCCCTCTTCATGTGTTCCTCTCAGATGCATTTGAGGTGCCTCTGTTGGAAAGGCAAGTAAACCAAGAACGCTGAGGAGACAGAGCTGATGGGGAAGCCAACAGTTGATAGAATTGGGGAGGGGTAGTTGTGACCCCTTGTTATAGTCTGGTTGTCTTACTCCAGTGCTCTCGCTTGGAAGAATGCTGTTTCTACTCAGCTTCGATCCCACTTCTTCCACCTGAGTGTGTTTTTTTCCATAGTAGAAATCTTGCCTCGTAAGGGCCAGCTTCTAAGAAATGAATTCTGCTGTCTGCAAAAAAACTTGTCAGGTCTCCTTTTAGCCGCCTGTTTGACTGATAGGCATCTGCAACGGATTTCCGATTCCACCATGGTCGTCAACTGGGCCCAAGATTCCCCGTCAATGGTGTGTGCACATCTACGTTTCCAAATGGCCTAAGTGTGACTTTTATGAGAAGCAGGAATCAATTCCTTTTGCCACCCCGGAGGGAAGTGGGAATGTTCATGGATAGGAGGATGGTGGCGTGGGGTGGTGGGGAGGGTGGGGAGGCAAAGGAGGACCATAACTTCTTGATTCTCTCCCAAAACCATATTGACTCTGGCATGAAATTAAGCAGTGGTTGATGTCTTCTGACTTGTTAGTTCTGCACATATGACATTCGTCCGAGCTATTGGGGTCAGAGTGCTTGCATTTCTCATGGTGCCATTGGTTTACCAGAGATGCGGATACGCAAGGAGCCATTGAAGGCTACGGTTCTTTATCGGTCTCAGAGCTAGGTTTGTTTCCATGGTATCTGTATTTCCTCGTGGGCATTCAGGATTCACTTCCATCTCTTGCGCATTTCGGGAGTCGGATCTGCAGTCTTGTGACCTAAGCGGTACCTGAACGTAAGCGTGTATTCTTCCAGAGGCACAATGACTCCATCTGAGGTCTGACCCCAACCCTATTCGTTGTGGTCGCCCTTGAGCTCAGAGATGTCTTGATATGGCCGGACGATCCGCCGAGGTTTGTCTTTTGAAACCTGGACCTTCCGTGGCAAGAACACCTCGAAGATGACTCTGTCAGGATTGCTGTTTCGGATTTCTGACCCGTAATACATGTTGCTGTGTATAGGGAAGGAGACAAACCTAGCTCACTGTTGGCTGCTAACCTCTTAATGAACCTGAAAGCTCTTTCCGGATAGGTCTGTCTTGAGTTGGCCTCAGTCTCCTGGTTTCCAGGAGAAGTCTTCTTGGAGGAGTTCTACCTAGGCTAACGGAATGCTCTTGAGAATGTTTTTTAGATTGTCCTTTAGGGAAAGACAACCTTTCAGCCTGTTTCTCAATTCTTGTTCAATCAGCCACCTCTTGTTCTCATCCGACCAAAGGTGTTACCCAAGCCAACCACCTCTTGATGAAATTTCCATTCCTTTCTCGACCCAAGACAACCATCTCTGATCGATTGTGGTAAGTGACCAGGGGTTACCTGATCCGTTGAGGTTGAGGGTGTTACATAACAGGGGTTCTCTCAGGACCTCCACTTTGTTATGTGGTTTTGTTATTTTCTATGGGGACTTTTTCTGCCAGTTATTAAATATGGGGTGGGGATAGTGGAGTTGTGCTGAGTGCCTGTTCGTCTATCCCTTTTCTTCCTACCTATTTTGATTGTCCATTCTTTGGAGGTGTCATAATGCATATTGATGCTGAAGATTCTTAAATTTTGGAAGTGGTGAAGATGCTGAAAATTCTGAACCCACCCCCGCCCACGCCCCCTCCCCCTGTTTTGTTTCCTTTAAGGGGGGGTGTTCATAATTCAGAAAACTTCAGAATTTTCATAAACTAGATGCATATGAAGTATTATGGACGCTAAGTATTTTGAAAACATCGAAGTGGTGAGGATGCTGAAAAAATGGAACCCTCTCCTCCTCCTGTTCGCTCTATTCAAAGAAGGGGCTGTTCAAAACTTCAGCACCTTTGTGAATGCTGAATATTAGTGGACCCATCAACCTTCTCTCCAATCAGCTGCTCTAACTGTTGAACAAAGCGCAAGGTTGATCTGCCGGGACTGGCTTGTGTGCTGTGAGGAATAACCACGCCGGTCTCCAAGTCTACAACCCGCCAGTCGAATCCACAAAGCTTAAGGGAACTGATGGCCTCGTGCAAGGTCTCCAGCTCTGACTGCTGTGGATTGCAGGTGTACTACAGATGCAGAATAAACTTGGAGAGAAAATCCTTGTGCTTCTCTTCATCTTTGGACCAGGCCGCACTTGGGAGAGCTCAAAGTGCCAAGCTTTGAGGCGGTTGGCATAACTAGCCTCAAGGCTCAAGCTTGTGCAGCAGCTCTGGGCTTGCTTGCCAAGGGATGACATGGCTTGTCAGCCTCTGCTTGCTGCCGCTGCTGTTCTTCAGCCCAAGGCCGGACTTTCTCCTCTTGGTGCTGTTTGGTTAGTTCAGCCTCCACCTCTCCCGCTTGGCTGAGAATGGGCACGAAAGTCAGCCAGACATTCGGCTGCCAGCTTACTGGGCATATATCCAGTCTGGTGTTGGATTGCCATCCTGACATGTCGCTGACCATGGAC